TTGATAGGTTTAGAGACATTTTATCATTTTTAGCTTTACAATCAATTAAAAGCCCTAAATAAATTAACCAAATTACCATCTTAAAATTAGACTAGTGCCTTGTGTTTAAACAAACTGCTTTAGAAATGTTCCATTTTTCAGCCTAAAAATCAAGATCACCAATTGAACCCCTAAAAGGCAAGTTGCGTTTACCATTTCTTTAGGGCTTTCATTTTTGACATAGTATGCATTGCAAATGAAGCCACACATATACACACACACACACACACACACACACACACACGCTTAATTTTGATCTCATCTTGAAGTAACTTGTTAGTGGCACAGACCTCATGATCAACAGAAGTCCAAGCCATATCTAAATAAATCCTTCATTTTGTCAACACTTGTAGGCTTGTGTGAAAACTGGGAGAAGCAGCTCAACTATTACCTTCTTTAGTCAGGGGTCTCCTCACAACATACTGCCTGACATCATCCTCCTTGGCCAGGTTGAAGAGCTTGCGGATCTTGCTGGCCCTCTTGGGACCCAGGCGGCGGGGGACAGTGCTGTCGGTGAGGCCGGGAATGTCCTTCTCGCCTGAGAATAACCAGATCACGAGATGAGTCAAACGGCTTAAAGCTAAGGGATTTACAAATTACAGTGCCTACATTTCAAGTGCATACAAAATGTTATAAAAAAAAACTATATACACATTAGTGCCGAGTGCGAGTTAGAATTTAGAGATCCTTTAGCTCCCCAGCGAGAAGTGGGACAGCTGCCTGCAGCCCAAATCAGCTAAATGAAAATAAATACTAGCAACACTTCAAATTTAGTCATAGCTTTTTCAGTGCCAAGCTAACTGTCCATGAACAGATAACTGCCCCAACTTCAAATGAATACAGCAGCTTTGGAGTTATTCTGATATTAGTGTGCACACGACAAATTGAGAGAGCAATGCAGTTCAACCATCCACTGATCCAGGACCTGGTTGCATCTGGTAAAGCAGCTTCACAGTTACTCTAGCAACACATGTCCCCCCTTAATGACTATAGGTCAGTCAGAAAGGGTTTACTAGTGTGCCATGAACATAACAGTTTTTAATAGTTTGTTACAGAATCCAATAAACCATCATCTCCACATTACCTTTCTTCACGATGACCAAGTTGAGAACGCTGAGGTTGGCATCAACGATGCACCCACGGACAGACTTGCGTTTGCGCTCTCCAGTCCTGCGGGGACGGTAGCAGGAGTGGCCCTTGCTGAGCAGCAGGCGCACACGGATGTGGGTCAGCACACCCTGCTTCATTGGGAAGCCCTGCTTGTCATTGCCTCCGCTGATGCGCACCACATACCCCTGTTGAGGTACAGGAAACAAGTGGTTAGGTCTCTGATTTGTTTCCATTTAGGGTACCTGACCACAATGTCTTAAAAGAGTAAAAATTGTTTACAGAACATAATATCAGTAACAGTGAACTCAATATAATTTGATTGTTTAAAATAATTATCTGCCAAGTTGCTTTACTTTCAAGAAGTAGTTGTGTAAACGGTCTTTTAACAATCAACTTCTCAAAATAAGCAATTATTGAAAAAAGTCACAGTGGCTTAGATGGGAGAACAGCTTGTCTATTAAGTTTAGGCTTGGTGGTTTGATTAGAAAAGCCTCCTTTTTACATGTCCAAGTTACCTTGCACAAGATAATGAACCCACCTAGTGTATGGATAATTGTAGTCTATTATCCTTCAGGATTGTGACCGTTATAAAACGTGTCAAACAAAACTATATTGTTTTTCCCCATACAATAACTCTTCGTTAAAGAGTGGAATTTTTCCTTGGGAATGCAAAGAAGTTGAGAATAATGCTTTTTCCAAATCAGACATGGTTATAAGGTTAGTCAGGATTTCATTTTTGTTACAAGTGTACACAAGACAAATTGAGAGAGCAATGCAGTTCAACCATCCACTGATCCAGGACCTGGTTGCATCTGGTAAAGCAGCTTCACAGTTACTCTAGCAACACATGTCCCCCCTTAATGACTATAGGTAAGTCAGAAATGGTTTACTAGTGTGCTTTAACATGAACAATGACATGTATGAACTCTGCTACATGGCGTGCTGACAAAGAGGTCAAACATGACTTTACCTTCCACTCATCTCCCAGGGGGTCAGCAGGCACCTCAGTGGCCATACGCTTCTCATAGAAAGTCCTCAGCTTGCGCTCATCATCAACTTCGATGAGCTTCTGGCAGCCAGTAGCGGGGAACGAGATGTTCAGCTGGAAAAAGAGTTGAAATGTTGAAGTTAGTACAAGTGGCTCCACATGGGTAGTGACAGATACGTCCTCAAACAGGTAGGTGGTGCCACGTAAGCTGCGCTAGGGATGTTAAAGGCAAGACAAGAGTAACTATAGGATACCTGGCTAAGGTTTTAAATCCACTTTCAAACAAAATAATCTGTTTATCTTTAGAGCATCTGCGTTAATAGAAGCTAAGAGAGAAGTAGAGGCCTACTAGCTTCTCTGTAGGCTAGCTAACGTTAGCCCTCTGGGCAATATAGGTATTAAAACACTCGGTTGAACCGCTAACGTTATGAATGAACCAAGCGGAATACACAGCAAGCTTGCATAACGTAAGCAGTCAAATATTGCAAGCTCGGTATTTCTCTAAACTGGGACTTGAAGCCGGTGCACATTTCGCTCAGTGTGCCGCCATGTTTCTACAGCTCACTCCCGACAGAATAGTCAGCGCTGACACAATCACAATCAAAACTCATCCTTAGTGCCAGAGCCGACACTTCTACATTAAACACGTCCAATTTAAAGTATATTAGCATCGCAACAACCACATACAACTATTTCAACAAAACAGCGTCTCCACGTAGATTTAAAATAAGGGAAACATTGTACCTTCATCTTGCTAAACCGGCCCTTCGTTGGTCCGCCACGGAAAAGAGACCGGAACTTCACTCCGTGGTCTCACATAGCCCTGTTAAGTTCTCGCGATAACTGATTCGATGTAATTTTCGAAACAGGCTACAGCTGAAGACAAATAGTACAATACATGTTAGACGCTTTTACGAAACAATAAGAAGAAATTGAATTTATATTAAAAGCTCTTTCTGTAGTAATGGTTAAGTTATACAACACAACACATTTATAATGACCAGATGGTAAGATGTGATAATTAATGTAACTTAAGTATGAGTATTAATGATCCATTATGTGTAACTTTACCTTATAAGTTCACAATTTCGTTGATTTTTGTTGTCTTTATCTTTCTTCCCTTTCCTGATTTGTGGATTATTATATAGTTACTTTATGTATCTTGGTGTTTATTTGTTATGTATGCCTTGTCATTAAATTATTTCTTAAAATGCAAATGTATAAAAATGCTCTTTCTGTAAAGGTGAACTACTTTTATACTACTCACCTGCTTTTGAGCTTTTGACTAACCCTGAACTTATTCTTTGAAGGGAATCCAACCAATATATTTGTTGAAACGTAATGTAAACTTTAGTTTTCTTTAATTCATAAAAATGTGCTGTTGGTTGGTTTTTATGATATATGTCTATGATGACCTAAACAACCATGTCATAAATAATAAAGGTAATTATTGCTATAGGTACATTTTAAATATGAATGCACCATATCTATGATGCATTATAATAATATATTCAGCATCACTACTATAATATGTGATGGTTTAATCATATTTTAATTCCTGATACTTAAACCTACTTGGTAATAAAACCGATTCTGATTCTGATAAAAAATAAAAATAATGAAGACAGGAGGTGCAGGAAATTCTAACTTTTACTATACGTGTATCTTGTTATATTATACCACTGCTAACAAGGCAAAGTTTAATATATAGAGAAACAACACCAATCCAGCACACATGGGTTTAACAGTTGATAGATTATATATGCCTGATACAAGCATGATTAGGAAACAGGATGTAATATTGTAATAGAAAAACATTATGGAATGGTTTGGAGCAGGAGTTAAAACAAAGCACAAGCATAATTCAGTTTAAAAGGATGTACAGAAACACTTTTTGGGAAAACTATGAGAATGAAGAGAGGTGATTGAAGATGAGAAATTATTGTATATGTATGTATAAATGTAAATGTAAGTAGGAATAACTTGCATAATGATTTAAAGGACAATCATTGATCAAGTAAGGGGTGGGAATTAATAAGCATTTGCTTCCTCCTGCTCCCTTTCGGACACATATGATTTATTATTATTATTAATATGAAGACTTTTTTTGTTGTTGAATATATAAATATTATCATGAATGTGGATAAATACTGTATTTTAACAATACGGTATTCTGTTTTTCACATTTGTTATTTTTTATTTGTTATTTTTTTTATCTGTTCGAAATAAAGATTGAAATTAAATTATACTCACTTACTTACTTCAATAATATCATTGTGTGATTCTTATTTGCTAATGTTTATCTATATTTACTAATTTCACTTCTTTGCTAAGCTTGGGAAAATTCCTTATTAAGAAGATTTGTTGCAATGTTGTTAGTTACACTTTATGTGCACCAACAGTGTATGACCTTCAACACAGGTGAACTGAGAACTTCCTGATATGGCCTCCCTACCTCCCTAACTTCCAGAATGCTCCTTTTATTATCACCAAGCGTCACCCCTCCCTTTCTCCTCTCTCTGTGTTAAATATGCAACCCAAACTCTATCCTTCGTCTTTCACTCTGCAGACTGTATGTTCTCTGTATGACTGACTGAACTTTCTTGCAAGAAATAAAATACGACAAAGACAGCTGAATGGTTTGATTCTCTATCCACATTTGTGTATCTTTCTTTAGAATGAGTATTGAGATAATATAATGCCATGACACTACACTCTCTGTACAGTAGGTGGCGTTATGCACCTTAAAAGTTAGTTTGCAATCCGCTAATAACCCCAATGAAGAAGGCCGCTGCTGTGATCACGTGTGACCGAAGCCGGAAGCGCAGCAGTGACTCCTCTCGCAGCGCTTCACCACTCTTTGGCTACAGAGCAGCTGTCAGTGCACACAGCGCCGAGCGTCACGACAAGCAGGAGCTTTGTGAAAGGACAGAGGCTTTAAAATGCAGCTCAATTTATGTTGTTTATCATGTCGTAATGTCAGCTCTCAAAACGTTCAAATCTAGCGTATGAGCAGCGAGTCGAGAGATAGTGAGCTTTAGTGTGTTTTCGTGATCTCTGACGGAGTTTCCTGCACCGTCCATCGGACAGAACTAGTCCAGACATGAGTAACGTTAATCTGATTTTCTGGGACCAGTTGCAGGCTGGCAGCTCGGACGTGGACTGGTGTGAAGGCAATTACCTCATTTACCCCAGCATCGCTGAGTTTTACAACACGGTCGGTTTGAGCGTTACCTAACGGTGTTTTCTTTCTTTTTGTTTGCATAATACAGTTTGTACAGTCAAAGCTAACTAGACCGCAGCTTTTCTGCCTTTTTTTCCTTTGTATTGCACTGCCTACTTATAGCTTGTATCATTATTCTCAGTTTAGCTATAGCTAGCTGTTGTGACATTCAACAGATTGGACTTCTTTGGACTGCTTTTCAGCTTCAGCATCATGATGTTTATTGTAAACAGCATCTGGTTAAAAATGTTTTTTTTATTTCCACTGGCTGTCAAGTTGGTTAAAGGCCAGCGACGCCCATGCTGATCAACTTCTGACCAGCATGTTGTCATTGAGCCTCACGATCAGTTCAACTATAATGTTTTGCTCATAGCTTTTTCCTTTTGTTTATCATTTCAGATCAGCAACATTTTGTTTTTTGTTTTGCCGCCCATATTAATGTGCTTGTTCCGCCAGTATGCAACACATTTCAACAGTGGGATTTACCTCATATGGATTCTACTAGTTGTGGTTGGTAAGTTGTCTGGCTGACACACTGTGTGATGACTTTCTGTGAGATGACCTTATAACCATTTCTGTTCAGCTTTATGGGAGACCTCCATCTTCTTAATTTCACTGCAACTTCCTTCAGCTGACAAACCATATAACCAATACTAATATTTACATTTTGTTAATGGTCAGTGTAGTATTTCATGCCATTTCTTTTGATATAACAAAAAGCACGCTGCACGCATGCTTTATTTCTGATGCAACTACGGCTTAATTATTCTTATATAATGATAGTGTGGTCTTTAATAATCTTATAAAAGAAAACACACTGCTGTTGCCTCTTTTAGCTGTTTGATATCAACATTTACCATTTAAAAAAATCACTTTAACCTTGACCCTTTTTATTTTTTTATAAAGCAAAGAGCAACTGGTTCCAGCTTCTCAAATGGGAATATTGGTTTGACAGTCTTTTATTATACTAAACAGAATATCGTGGACTAATATTTTGACAAACAATACATTTGAATATGTTATTTTGGACTAGATTGTGACCAGCATTTACACAATTTACTTTTTTGATTTTAGACCAAATACAATTTTTAAAAATACATCAGGAGATAAACCAATATTGAATATAACCTGAATACTAACAACAGGTTAATAAACTAAATATGTTGGAGTTTGGGATTTTTAGTTACACAAAACAAAGCTACTTAAAGCCCGGGCTCGGAATGTTGTAAAATACATTTTTAAGTATTCTCTGACAATATAAAACAAAATACTGAGAAAATGATGTGCAGATGAGTCTATAATGAAATATAACTTTAACTGTAGCCCTCCCAAATGACAAACATTGGAGTACATATAAAAAGTACGATGTATGAGTTTTATGTAGGGGCCCTCACTCTCAAAGAACAACAGGAACACTGTTGGGTCACAGTAGGTTTCCTCAGCTATGTCCTCCTTCACTGTCCTCAGTTAAGGCTTTAGGCTGTCCTGAATCATTTTACTACGTTAGAAAAACACTTAATCATGACTGGCCTTATTCATGGGTAGGATGAATAAGGCTTTTGCGCTAGATTTAATTCGATTTGACACATTAAATTGGTTGTAAATGGGGCCACTGTATTGAAATACCAGTGCAGTCCTGGAAAGATTACAGTGTTTTGTTTGTTTTTGTAGCTGTTAGAAAAACACCCTTCTTGCACTGTCAGCAAAGATAGCTGACAGACCCCCCCATGTTCCTGAGAGGGCGCTTACTGGGTGATAGTTGATGGGTTTTCCAAAACTGAACTTAAACTACTGGTCATTTGCTTCTCTCTGGACTGCACAGCTTTAATATATATCTTTTATAATAAAAGCAGCCTGCTTTTTCAGTTTATATCTTGTTCCAACTCACAAATGCTTATATATGTGGCCTTGTAGCTCTGACTGCATCCATTGTTAGGAATCTGGAAGCTTTTAAAACTTTCGCAGCTGTCGGGCGGGTTTCATGGGTTCATCTCTTCACCACCGTGTCTGAGTTCGGACGACCTTTGACTCGAGCAGAAAAACAACCCTTTAGGTTCAAGTGTGAAGACAACAGTCAGCTGCTTTACTTTAGTTTTGGCTTCAGCTGAGTTTGGAACATTTATGACTACTGAATTCCCTGCTACCTCATCATAAACAGTATCGGTTTATATTACTATTACATTTATCTGCTGATTATGTATCTCAATAAATTGTGTGATGAAATTCGTGGACCAAAGAACTGGAAACACAAAGCGGACATTGGAGAGCTTTGAATTGATGTCAGACACCGAAGATTTTTGGGAAGACATTTGCGCAGACACAATAGTGACACGAACCAGCTAGGTAATCAGACAGAAAGAAATCAGAAAGAAAAACAAGTTGCATTTCTTGCAAAGAACAAGGCTCCAGAGGGCCTCGGTCAGATAAGATTTACTCTCATGGCATCTTTAGTCCTTTCATTACCTAAAGGAGAGCACCTTGCTTTATGCATATTCAGAAGGAGGTCATCTCACAGCGGATTAAGAGAGCTGAGAAGACAGCAGCCAACTAATCTTTATACAATAAGGCGCTCAAGCCCTTGGGCCAAATGACTGCGGTCTGTACAGACAGAAAAACTAAGGCAAGGACAGAAGTAGAAAATTATAAGAAGGAGGAGATTAGTTAAATAATCCTTCATCACATTCACAATCACATTGTATAATCAGAGACATGTCAGACGGTAATGAACAGTTTTCCTAATCCAGTCAAATACGATGTCTTGGAATGTTTTTTCCAGTCCAACACATTATCTAGTAATCCTAGAGGACTGAGAGCTAAAGCAAATATTTACATTCCAAAAGGTTAAACCAATTAATGTTTGGAATGTTTGGAAAGAAAAAGACTTAAACCGTGCCATATCAGTTTTGTAACAATCACCAATCCATTTATCTGTCGATCAACAAACCCGATAATAACATTTCATTGAGAATATTCAGGCGATCTCTGTTTACGTTTATTTTGACTTTACAGATACACTGGCAGGTTGTCGTGATCAGCAACGTCTGACTCAGAATTATCTTTGGATAAGAATTTAGTTAAACTGTAGGAATCTCCTGTTTTGATAACAGATTATTGTGATAATGGAGGGTCTGCAGGGCCGTGATAACAGAGGGGCTCGGGCTGATCCTCCACAGACTCTCAAAACCCCCCGTACATTAACACCGGTTTCCAAGCAGAGGTGCTGTGATAAAGCTGACAATTACTGATATTAAACAAAATGAAATATCAATATCATGATTGTAATTCACGTAATAATAGTGTGTCAATAATCCAGAGCCTCTAAAAATCATTTATGTTTCTTTCCATTCTTGCTTTAATTGCCAAAAAAGAGACGAAACCAACAATAACGACAAAGTGAAAGAGGTTTTTGAAAGGTAGCATTATTATATACAATGCATTCATATTTATATAATGTTAATAATATCACCATTTGTTATTTATAGAAAGTCTGATGTCAATTTATTGTTCATCTGTTTGTAATCTACATGTCACCTTTGTGCTTAAAACATTTAATGTCACTATACTGTTTTTTTTTTTTAATATAATAGGTTTGAATTATCCTATTTAGAGGTAAAACGTCACATTAGTTTTACATCACTTTTCTCATTTGATATATGAAAATGGGAATATGTCTGCAGTAAAATGGAAAATTTAAAATGAGCTAACAAACTGCTTAGTGTGAACTGATATATCTATAGGACTTGTAATCAAATGGACAGAAAACACTGATCAAATCAATAGTTTTTTGAAGAAGCACACACCAATTATTCCAGCTTCCTATCACACTTACCAAATGGAGACGACATCTGTATTTTCTGACAAATAATTGGTGTGTTTGTGTCTCTTTCTCTCAGGTATTGGCTCAACATATTTCCATGCCACACTCAGCTTCCTCGGCCAGATGCTGGACGAGTTGGCCATCTTATGGGTGCTGATGTGTGCCATCGCCATGTGGTTCCCCAAACGATACCTACCCAAGATGTTCAGGAGGGATCGGTATGTAGACTTCTGTACTTTTGCACACACACAGTCGGACATGTCTGATGCAGTAGTGGTTTTGCTACATACACGTTTTAGGAAGCAAAGCTGTTTCCACTTTGATTTTGTGTCTCACAACAAGGAAAACGTCACTTCTTCTCTTGTATTTCAGGTAGAGATGCAGGTTTAGTGGAGCTGTCTTTTGGCCCCTTCTGTATTTTGTCACATAATGTGTTCCCACTGTTTAATAATAGGCCTGTCCCAGATAGCTGACTCCGGTAGAAAACTGCATCACATGTCTTTACTTCTCTTTCCATTGTCACAGAGCCATCATGGCTGCTCTTTCCCTTCAGGCTGTTACTTAATAAAGCCCCCCGTGTAGTTGAGTGCATCTTGTTTATTGTCTGATTGTTTGTGTTTTTGAGTAATTTCTGGAAAGAGCTTCCAGACATTCTTTCTGAGTTTCACAATGCTGTACATAGTGTTTGTCTTTGTTGCAATTGTTTTGCTTTTCCATTTAGGTCAAGGTTCAAAGTGGTCATCGGCATCTTGTCGGGGATCACCACTGGGCTGGCCTTTGTTAAACCTGTCGTCAACTCATTGTCTCTGATGACTCTGGGCATCCCCTGCACTGTGCTGCTCATTACTGAGCTAAAAAGGTTAGTTAAAGTTATTTATTTGAATGCAAAGTTGAGTTTGGGCAGGTGAATGTGCAGCCTTGATCAAGGACCATCGTAGCTCTAATTTTAATGTAGAGTATAAATGGGAAAAGTATGCCGGGGCTGTTGCAAAGTTTCAAAAGAAGAGTTTCTCCAACTAAGAAGTTTCTTTTTCTTACTCTTCTTACGCTTGCATTTACGAAGCAGAGAAAAAAATCCAGCTCCATTTAATAATTTAAATGTATCGACTGACTAAAAGTGTGATCGTATTACTAGATTACCCAACTTTCGTTCCTTTTGTGTGATTCTTAGAACAGTGCTGGATCAGGATTGTGCGTTGTTGGGTTGTCGTGTCTGCATGTGTAAGCAGCACAGTTTACTTAATGTAAGTGGGTTTCACCACTATCCAAAAAGCAGGCTGATGTGGGCTATGCAGCGGTTATTCCTGGCAGTTAGTACGTTTTAATATTTCTTAGTATAGATTCTTGGTTAGACTTCAACCTGTTTTAATTCTGTGATGCATGAATCTACATTTGGGCTGTAACTAGGTTGAGAGTTACGGCAGCATTTCTCAATGTCCATGTCAGTGGCTCAAAGTTGATTAGTCAGTCAAATCAACTGCTGTTATATTAAGTAGATAAGTTGACATGATGGTATCAGTGACAACAAGATGTCATTTCTGCAGTCTACAGCACTTTAACATTTCACCTTTGTCCATTAGGACTTTGTGCTTTTGATGACATGTTGTCTGGTCCAAGATAATTATAGGTCATTATGATGTGAAAGAATGTTCCTGAAAACACACAACACCCACTCACGCCCCTGTGTGTGTGTGTGTGTGTGCGTGTGTTTGTGTGTGTGTAGCTTTCCTCCGTCACAGCCATGTCGAGCTTCTCTGTTGTTTCCGTTTTCCACATCCCTTACTCACCACCGTCAATCTTGTAACTTTAAGTCATCCATTGTTCAACCTGTTAGGTATTCCTGAAATTCCTGCCGCTGCCATTCATCTGTCGATGCTGCTTGTTTTTGTTCTGCTAAAGTAATTGGGAGAGAATTCCTGTGGCCCCAGCTAATGGACCTTTGGCCTCAGAATATTTTGTTGTTGTTTGCTTTTGTACAATGCGGCTGTTGACCCCTATTCCAGTCACTTCCAGTTGGACATGAACAATATGTCCGGTGTATAGGACCTCCAACACAAATATTACATTAGTGTCAAAGCAATAATACCAGGCAAGGTTAATCACAAAGGACAAGATATTAAACAAACAGAAGTGAACATGTCAGAAAAATAAGTTTGTGCATGTGTGCAGTTTATTTTTATATTGCAACATCAATTATGGATACATGCACAGACTGTACTATACCAGTTATTTATTTTCATGATTTCATGTCATGGGGCTTAAGTCAAGGACTCTATCTGTCCTTGGCTTAAGCTCGTTATGTAACGCTGCTGTCTTGCATGGCGTTTTACACTAGTTAAAAATAGCCACAAAGTAAAAAATAAACAGTATAAAACATTCCTATATACTACATACATATCAGAAAATATAAATACTGTATCTTCTATTGAAAACTCTCAATTTGATACTGCCCTGGTTTTAAAAGAATAGATTTATCTCAGACTTTGTTGTGCTTAAAGGATGATTCCTGTTTAAGAATTGGCGTCTTATTATTGTAGTTGTGGCCATCGTTTCCTTTCTGTGACAACATTGTTACCCATCAAGCATATTGCTGAGATCTTCACTAAAAAGATCAGACAATCACTTTGAATGTATTTGGAAATCAAACCTATTTTGTAAAGGAAAGGTTTGACTTATTTTGAAGGTTATAATAGTGGGGTTGAGCAGCCAGTAACATTAACTGTAATTGCATTGTCCCTGATTCCATACCGGTTGTGGGTCTTTGTTGCATGTCACTGCTCTCTCTGTCTAGCCCTGTCTCCTCTTCATTTGATAAACAAAGACAAAATAATCAAAACAAACTCTTGTGAACATGCAACATAGTTTACAGACTGCCTTCCTGGTTCAGCTTAATCTACCATACAGACCATTTGTTATGTAACATCGCATGCTAACTTACAATTTTACCTCAGAATAAAGTGGTTTAGTTAATCTGTCCTGTCAATAGAGCCATATGACATGCAAACTAAGCCTTTATATAATTTAAGACCTCCAGCGTCCTTGATAAACATCAGGCTTTGTTTTGCTGATCGTAGGGAGTCTCTTCCCTTCTTTTCCCTCGGGGGGAGAGGAGGCTCTTCAGCAGTGCTCCACCCCAGATAGACAGGCTGGCCTTTCTTTCACTTATCTCTGCCTCCAACACTCAAACTCTCTCCATCACACTCACCGAGGCTCATGTGCCTCCTAAGGAGAAGCCCTTTTTCTTCAACTCATGTTTTTATCTTCATGCTTCTGTTTGAGCCGATATCCAGCTGTGCAGTGAACGGTTTTCAGTGTATGTTTGTCAGCAGGAAGGAGTGTTTTCCTACTTTTACGTAGTCGTGCTTCTGGCATGTAGAGGCAGTTCCTGAGCCTATAGCTGGCTTAGTACTCTTCCTGATTAAAAAGTCAGAATTTTCTTCCCACTTGAACATCATCGATCAAAACACTTGACAGAATAATAGAATTTTGACTTTAATAGCCTTTTCCCCTCTGGGAAGTCGTATCATTGGCCATCTATTTTGGTCCTTCCTCTTGCTGTTGAGCAGCTGTGACACCATTTTCTTCTGCTCCTTCTCTGGTTCAATTATGTAACATAGTTTTTCCTTGTTGGTTAATTAGTTGACTTACTTCACATAAAGAGAGACTGTGTATAAATTATACTCTGAGGGTTTTCTGCTTCAGCTTCACTCAGTCTGTAAGGACCAGCAGCTCATGGTGGTTCATGTTGGTTACAAAGAAAATATATATTTAATGTTTACTGAGACACTTAACTGACCTTGTAACTACTTGTATTTATGTTGCACTGCATTTTATAATTTCTTCAATAATAATAATCACTCAGTTGACAATATTTTGGGTAATTTTATAATGAGGAACTGACAGACAATGACCAACCCTGACTGTGCAGTATGTAACAACATACAAATAAAAGCGCCTAGCGAGATACATTTCCCTCATTAATCGGTGTGAACATGAACTCAAGGAGAGTGGGTGTGAGATTCTTTCCTCATGTGACCAGAAATACATGCTTAGAAACTGGTTGCTTATTAATACACATGAAAAGTTACATAAGGTAGTTTCAGGATGAAAACATGGTCTTTAATTCTCTCTCCGTTGTCACAGAGACATAATGGCTGCTACTTCACTTTAGACAAGTCCGTTGTTGTGCTTTCAACATTCCTTTCTTATCAGAACATGACTCAAATGTAAGACTTTTTTTTTTTATTCTACTTCTTCATCCGGTACACGTATTAAGGTAAGGTGACAAACTGGGTCACAGTGACTAACAGCTGCAACATAAACAACACAGTCTATGGAGTCTGACTTGTCTCTGTGTCTGTCTCAGTGTCTGTCTCAGGGTTGAAACTGATGTGTCTAAAGAGGACATGACTAAGAATAGTTTTTATCAGCAGCAGTCTGGATTAGCACATGTCTCTGTAGGTCATTGGACAGTCCAAATAGATATTTGTGCAGAGGCCAGAGTACTTTGTACTTGGATCACAGTTCTGTCTGCTTCCAAAAAGAAAGAGAAAAGAATCCCCTTATCTAAAAGTAAACGTGCTGACATCTTGGTATGGACATCTCAGTGGTGAATATGAAACACTCCAGTCAGGGTGGACGACACGGCCAGTAAAAGAATGTTGTGTTTGTGTGAATTTGTGTTTGTTTGAACATGTTTCTCAGTGCTCTGTTGTGTCTCTGCAGGTGTGAGAACCCCCGGGTGTTCAAGCTGGGTCTGGTCTCAGGGATCTGGTGGGCGCTGGCTCTGCTCTGCTGGATCAGTGACAGGATCTTCTGTGAGATGTGGTCATCTGTCAACTTTCCCTACCTACACTGTGCTTGGTAAGCTCAACAACAACACTAGAGTCAGTGTAGTTTTCTCTGTTGTTAAGGTTATAAGTTATGGACAATGTATGTGTTCGCATAAAATAAATAGTCCAGTTCCTGTGGGTTTCAGTTAACTTACACACAAAACAATTTACATAATGATAGATATAGACATAAATAATAATAATAATAATAATAGATTTATTTTGTTAGTGCTTTTACAGGTGCTCAAAGACGCTTTACAGATATAGTGAAAAGAAAAGAACAACAAATAAATATATATAGTTAAAGTTAAAGTCAAATAATACAAAAACAATCACACATTAAAAGCCAGATTGAAGAGGTGAGTTTTTTGAAGGTGGTGAGGTCAGTGCAGTCTCTGATGGGTTGTGGGAGTGAGTTCCAGAGGGAGGGGGCAGCGACGGAGAAGGCTCTGTCCCCCCAGGTCCGGTGCTTGGTGCGGGTGGGGATGGATAGGAGGTTGGCTTCTGATGAGCGGAGTCAGCGGGAAGGGGTGTGGTGGTGCAGCAGGTCTGTGAGGTAGGGGGGGGGGGGGGGCTGATTGTTGAGGGCTTTGTAAGTAATCAGGAGGACTTTGAAGTCGATTCTTTGACGGACGGGGAGCCAGTGGAGGTTCTGGAGGACGGGAGTGATGTGGTCTCGGGAGCGGGTGTGGGTGATGAGGCGGGCAGCAGAGTTCTGGATATGTTGGAGTTTATTGAGGAGGTTGGATGGTATGCCGTAGAGCAGGGGTACTCAAACTTTTTTATTAAAGGTCCAGTTGTGAACTTTATACAGGGTCACTGGTCCGGATCAATGCCAGTAAAGTCCGTCCGTCCCCCGTCCCCCGTCCCCCCCCCGAGCGGAGACACGAAACTGAAATTAAGAAGCAGTTTCTTGGCGCTCTATGCATGGGTGTTTCATGTTGTCGTTGCTGTGGACCTTCTTAATCTACCTTCTTTGGGGGACCCCTTCTGGTCCAAGCACTTGCCTGCCTTGCCTGCCTTGCCTGTCGGTAAACGGCGCCCGTGTATACACACACACATTCAATACATACATACAGTATGGTGGCTTGAACTAGTGGGAGAAATGGCACTGTTTGTCTGTAGTCAATGCTTTGAACCTCTGCAAAAAAGGCATTAGAAGCATTAGGAAGTCAAGGTAAACTTGCGGTTAACTTGCGGTCTGCTATGCGTGTCACGCTCGCACACACAAGTAAATATATATGCACGTTCATTCTCACAACGCGTCAGACACAAGACGCGCGTACATGATGATGTACATTAATTTATCAGAATCAGAACTCTTTTTTTTTTTTTTTTTTTTTTTTTTTTTTTTATAAATTATTTTATTTTATTTTTTATAATGGGACACAGGGTTCGGTCCGGATTGATTTGCAGTTCGGTCCGGAGTTTGAGAAGCCCTGCCGTAGAGGATGCTATTGCAGTAGTCGAGTCGTGATGTGATGAATGCATGAATCAGGGTTTCAGCAGCAGAGGAGGAGAGTGATGGGCGGAGACGGGCAATGTTTTTGAGGTGGAAAAAGGCGGTCCTGGGGATGTGATTGATGTGGTGATTGAATTTGAGCTGACTGTCGAAGATGACTCCGAGGTTGCGGATGTGAGGGGGGGAGATAGAGTGTGGCTGTCAATGGTGAAGTTGAAATTCTGGATGGCTTTGGTACGGGATGGGGGGGCCGATGATGATGTCTGATTTGGCACTGTTCAGTTGGAGATAGTTTGTTTGCATCCATGCTTTTATTTCTGAGAGACAGTTGGTGAGAGTGGAGTGTGTTGTGGTGGTGATGGTTTTTGTTGAGATATAAAGTTGGATGTCATCGGCGTAGCAGTGAAATTGGTTGTGGCGACTAATTATTTTGCCAAGGGGGAGCATGTCGAGGATGAAGAGGAGGGAGCCAAGCACCGAACCCTGGGGGACGCCTTGGGACAGAGGAGCAGTGGAGGAGGTGCAGTTGTTGATAAACTGATGTCTGTCGGTGAGGTAGGATTTCAGCCAGGAGAGTGCAGTGTCGGTGATGTTGAGTGATGTTTTGAGGAGGGACAGCAGGATGGTGTGGTTGATGGTGTCGAATGCTGTGGTGAGGTCGAGGAGGATGAGGTTGTTCAGGTTGCCGGAGTCAGAGGAGAGGAGGAGGTCGTTTGTGATTTTCAGAAGAGCTGTTTCGGTGCTGTGTTTTGATCGGAAGCCGGATTGAAATGGCTCAAAGAGGTCATTGGAGCTGAGGCAATGACACGTTCAAGTATTTTTGACAGAAAGGGGAGATTTGAGATGGGCCGGAAGTTGGACATGATGTCAGGTGTGAGTCCAGGTCTTTTGAGAATGGGTGTGATAGCAGCCAGTTTGAGAGAGGGGGGGAACTGATCCAGATCTGAGGGAGGAGTTAATGATGGTGGCGATGGGTTGGGAGATGGCAGGGAGGCTCTCTTTAACACATTTGGAGGGCATTGGGTCAAGTGTGCAGGTGGAGTTAATTCCAGTCATGAAGTCGGACAGTTGCGTGGGGGTCACAGGGGAGAAGTGGGACAGGGGCTGTGAGGTGAAGTGGGGGGAGCCAGGAGAGGAGGTGGGGGGTGCTGATGAGGGTGTCAGATTGCTGTAAATGTTGCTGATTTTGGTTTGGAAAAACGAGAGGAAGGAGTTGCACTGTTCGGTGGTGAAGGATGAGGTGGCGTTGTCACAGGGTTTGAGAAGTTTGCTGATGGTGGAGAATAGACGCTTGGGGTTGCTGGAGCCAGACTGAATGAGTTGTGAGTAGTAATTAGATCGGGCTGCTTTGAGTGCGTTACTGTACTGCTACATACAGAACTACAAAGCTGAACAAAGATAGGTAAAAAGCTAAACATTGTTTACTGTATACCATAGTGTGTACATACAAGAAGTTGAAAAATAACTGTAAATATTTCCTATAGAAATCAACTGGATTCAAGAGTCTTCTAAAAATTAATATGTGGGTTTTGAAACATGAAAGAAGGAAGATTACTGTCCTAGAAACAAGAAAATGGAATGAGAAATCTTATTTCAGCAAAATATCAGAAAAGGTTGATTGACTCGGTCTATTTTGTTAATAATTAGTTTTTAAAGACCAAATTACAGACAAACACCTGGATATATTTACAGAGCTTTTTTCAGCCAGTTTGTTTATTCAGACTCATTGCTCTTACAGGCACATCCTGATCTGCCTGGCGTCCTACTTGGGGTGCGTTTGCTTCGCCTACTTTGACGTTGCGACTGAGGCCCCAGAGCGAGGACCCGTCATCATGTTTTGGCCAAATGAGAAATGGGCTTTTATCGGTGTGCCCTACATTTACTTTCTCTGTGTCCATAAGAAGTCTGCTATCAAGGTGACTTAAAGTGACCCGATGTTGCTGCTATGTTGGCCGTGCTTCAACACCTCTCACCAGGAAGCATCAATCATGGCAGCGGGTGATGTGGGTGATGCAGATTGTGTCCGACTGTGAGGAAATTCTCTTTTTTTTCAGTCCCTGGCTGGTTTCATTACACAGCAGTGTTTATGCAACTCTGTCAAAGAACAAAAGGTGTTACACATTAGTAACTAACATGACGATGAAAGGGTGACTTTTTAACACGGTAACAAAGCCAAGAAAGATTTAAAGTGTTCCAAACATATTCTCAGGCTTTACATATGTGATCATGTAAGTATTGGTATTATGCATTTCAATCTTCTTTTATAGGAAGATTTTGTACATTTTTTAGTAACTAAGAAAACCTCATTATAAAGCGTTGTATTGCCTTTATAAACACAAGTATTGGATCTCATAGGTGCAGTCTGGCCATTATGAAAGCATATTTAGAAACAATACAGAACTGGATTCATTAACTGTGATTAATGCATAATGCATTAATACTTCATATTGTACTGCTTTGCCAATCTAACTATGCTCAATTAATCAACAAGCTGGTTCATAAGAAGTGTTTTAAGTATTTAACACAAGGCCTCATGTGTTTAACATGTAATGGCTGTCCTACCTGCCCTCTTTGTGGACCAGCATTTTGTCGCATAGACTTCTTTGGTGTGCTATATTTTACTTCCAGCATGTCATTGTGTATGTGAGATTTGTGTTTAATATACTCCAGTATATATTATGTTAATTAACAATGTAGTATGCAGATTTTTTCCTATGAAAAACATAATTCAAACATAACTGAATGAAAAGGTACCCTTTGCTATTTGCCAAATCCCAAAGTTAAAAAACAAAATGCGAATGTGAACTCAAATTGTATGAATTGAATTAGGTTTGACTATTCGAGGAAATATTACATATTTTGCACAAAATCAAGAATGGTTCTCAAAGCCAATGGCTAATTGCACACTTACAATGTTGTAACTTTGCTAATGTAGTGATTCTAATGCTGATGTTTTCAATGCAGATTTTGTTTTTCAAACAGGCGCCTCAACTCTTCAGGGTTATTTATTCCAGGCTCAGTATTTTAGACTTTGTGCTAAATATTATTTCAACTTTAAAAACTGTGCAAAAAGCCTTAATCAGACAGGATAATGGCTTACAAAAGCAAAAGAAGGTACACGGTGTCCTTGTGAGATGTATCTGACAGTGTTAAGGGGAAAATGGGGGAAAACGGTGTCATATTAAATATAAGTTGTGGGACGGGGTTTTAATACTGCTGACCTATTTGTGTCAGTTGACAGAAACTATTTGAACATATGTAAGTAGAATATAAAAGGGAAGTATGATAGGTGTTGCAAAGCTAAACACAAACCCTAATTGTCAGGGATCACCAAAGCTTTTTCACCACAAACCATTGTTTTAAATGTTCTTAAACTGCCTCAAGCTGTCTTCACTAATATTATTTTAGTCTCGCCCTCCTGCAGAGGCTTCTGGGAACTCAAATTGCTAAAATAACTAGTGCATACATGCAGGATCAAATGAAGGTTCATGATTCAGAAAAAAAAGCTAGTATTTTTGTGAGATTCTGAAGTATTTTGTTAAGACAATGTATATTTTTCTATGTAAAGTGCAGCCAAATTTGAAGGGTGAATGGTTTTTTGATAGTGCATGATTACTATTTTACCTTTGTATTGCCAACATGTTTTTTTAATTATTATTTTATCTTTAGTGGAAACTTTTGGGACAGTATTAACAATGTGAACAAATATGTTGTGCACCAGAATGCTTTTATTATGCTGCAAATGATATCATACCTCTTATCCACGATGTTGGATCATTTGTATGAATCACTCTCTGATAAAGTTTGTGTGAACAGGACAGGGTGGCAAACGCTGCCCTCTGCATCGTGATATTTGTCTTGGCAGGAGGTATGGTAATGGTCTCAAAACAATGAGTTAAGTCTTTTTTATTGACTTACATTTGTATATAAATCTCATTTCTTTCTCCGCCTGCATTGACAATATAGACAAACTGCACAGAAATATTTATTTTCATAATTTATCCTGTTTTGTAAACAAATATGTGTTATAGTTTAGGAGAACATTAGTACTTTTGTCTTATTTTATGCAATAAACCAAGCCAATACTTAAAATGATTTCTGGTGTTTATTTCACAAACCACATACAATATCATGTTGGAATAATGCTTGCATTTAAAAATATTGTTCATCATTAATTATGTATTACTTCTTTCTGTTATGTAAACTGAGGTATCTTTGCATGGAGAATCAAAATGACTCGGACAACCCACCAGGGGGCAACGTTTTTCCACACCTACTTTATGTTGTTTTTCTCAGCCGTTTCAGCACAGTTAACCTTCATCTGCTTTCAGTTTTTAGGATGTGAAAATGACATAAATCAATCCTTGAAGTTATTTAATTCTTAAACCGAGTCATTACTGTTCTTGTGTCTTTCAACAATTTTTAAGATTAATGCGCGCACAGTTTACAAATGAAACCCTTTTCAGTAACATGTAAATGTCTCTTTAACATACTTCTTGTTATACACACACAAACAATTATATATATATATAACTGTGCAGTACACTGAAGTCCCAATAAACTCAATGTGCTTCCCAGTAAAATACATATAGGAACAAAATAATACGGTAAATAAAATACAAGAAAGAAATATATAAGGAAAAAAGATATTCACAAAACCCATACATTGTAAGTAATTTTAAGCCTGAGATTTTACTATTTTTTGTAGACATGAACACAGATTTGAAAATCCTCAGGTTATCGGGCAGGTTGTACTGAGATTAGGAAGGAACGCCTAATAGTGCAAGCTTTTAACAAAGCCTGATCTGAACTAGATATTTGCAGATGTGTAAATCTAATACATTCCCTTCTGCTTTAATTCTATTGGGGTTTATATCATGGTGAAGCATATTTTTTTGAAATAAATTGCAGAAGTTGTGACTTACGTGACGATCTAAAGTGTTTAATATAAAAAATACCATATTGAAATTACATGAATTATTACACAGAGAAAAAACAAACATTAATTGTGAAATAAGCCAATATCTTAAAAAATTCCCTTTGTTCCCTTTCTTCTTTGACAGTCAAATAATGTGTAAATACCAGTGGCATGAAGACATACAATTTGGAAAACATTTTATATTGTGAAACATTTAAAATAAAGGTCATATTGAACAAAAACTGCTTGAATAAAATGCAATCACCTATAATAAAGTGTGTTAGTATTTAAGTATTATATAACAGTTATTTTTATATTTACACAAAACGGGTCTAAAAGTGTAATGCTATATTCTCGCATTTTTTATCAAATGTCAAATGATTTATGTGGTAATGAATATATAATACTTTTAAGTGTTTAACTTTTAATATAATGGTGACTGTATTACATGGTCATACGAGGGCAGTGACGCTCTCTTGCAGGAGGAAGTCCCGCCTCCTGTGATCACTGAAGACTCTCATTGGTTCCCGCACAAATCAACCAAAAAACAGCCATGTCTAGATTATGGGTCAAATAGAAGACCGTCGGTTTTAATCTGGTTGATATCAGGGGATTTATTTCACCGTTATACCTTTGGAGATCCATATCGGAAATAACCGGATATCTCTACTGATATCCCACCGGCAGATTCAACGCAGCTCTGCGGCTTCTCCTGCGCCTTTTGTCTGCGGAAATACAGCAGGATGTTTATTATTAGACGCAAAAACAATTGACGGCGCGTTTGTCGAGCCTTAAAACCAAAAGGTGTTTCCACAGCCAGGCTGTCAAACACAAGAGGACCATATATGTAATTCCCTTTTCACTGCGGGCGGCGTTTAAGATAACAAAAACACATCCAAAATGATGTCAGGAAAGCATTTCAAGGCTCATGAAGTGAGCTGCTGCATTAAGTATTTTATCTTCGGATTCAACATCATATTCTGGGTAAGTCCCTTGTTTGCTGTGTTCAGGACATTAGGCCTGATATCGTCAGTGTAATACTCACTGACATGACATGCTTTTGTTCTCCGTCAACAGTAACCTTGTTTCTAATTCAGCGAGAGCGGTTTTCTTTCTTTCCATTTTTTATGATGGGGATGATTTCATCCCCTGCATTATGGGCTCACAGCTCCTGTGCACTTGCTTGCACTGTCACCCTTGAGCTTTTGTTTTTGTATAGACAGCATCAGTGTGAGGGAACTCTAGTGATCCCTTGTTTACATCTGAGCGCTTTTTAATGTGGTGTCAGTAATGTTTGGGCAGAGCAAACAGCAAATCCCTCTCTGATCATCATGTACTGAGCCTCAGGAGAAACAGACACCTTCAGGGCTTTGAATCCCACAAGTAACCCCATTGTGACTGGACATCCCACTTAAGGCCTCCAGTTACCAATTTAATACAGAACCTGGTTGGAGGTCTGATACATTACTGTGTAAAAGCAGGGTAAAACATGTATTCTAAAGGAGAACAATTAGGAATAGCAGATGGCTTAGTGATGCTATGCATTAACAGACAATAATATAAATGGTGCTTTATCTGACATGAGTGTCAGTGGTAGTTTTCTTCTTGATTATCTGTTGTGTCTACACATCAGAAAGCAGTCCAAAGGGACATTTTCCAAATCCTTGTTTTGACTTACCAACAGTGAATAACATAAAGATGTTCAAATTACAATAATGTTACACAATGCTAAGGATAAAATCCTTACATTTGAGAAGCTGGGCTACTTTACATATTTTATCAATTGTTGCCTAATTTTCTGTTGATTGATTCATTCAATCTGTACATTTGAGATCAGTGTCTATTCTCAAGAACATTTAGAAATATATGTGTTAATGGATTAAATACCCGGATGTGACTGTCAGTTTTTGGCTATTCCAGACAAATAAAATCCAATGTTGCGAAACAGCAGTCAGGCTCATTGATTTGCAATACTGGAAAAATGTCAACTGACTCGTATGTCCAGGAAAATTCAAAGAAAGAGTTGCAGAGTCCACATACTCACATGTCTCAAAAATATATCCTCATATCATCTGTCCCTTTTTGAAGTGACGTAAGTGGAGCCAACATGTGTGTGACCCTTCAGAGGAAGTCCACCTGTTGGCCCCACGGAGGGTCTCAGTGTGCAGGCAGTGACCCCTCTGCTCCCTTCAACATACATATATCATCAGAGGAAGTGTCAGAAGCATCTGTTCATCCTTCCTCTGCAACGGATTATACAATAACAAAATGTAGTGTTCAATTCACAGCTTTTCTTTCTAGAGTGTAGTCTTGCTAAATGGGGCTATTCTTTGTCTGAATTCGTATTAATCTTGTTAGAAATTGACAGTTTTATACCAAATAACACTCACCTTCTGTTGATATATGCCAGTCTTACAATCCTACACAAAAACACTTACTGTAAACCTAATCGTGAATCTTTTATGCGGATATTTTGGTCTCTTCAATCCTACACTTTCGGATCAACAAAAGCCACCAAATACGTTACACAAATAAATGTAACAATTTACCCAGGAAAACGAATTCTACTGTAACATTTTTACATCAGAGGCTTTTCCTATTTATTCTATTTGGTCTCAATCTCCAGTTTATTTTTAATTAATTGACCAACCATTCAGTTTATACATTGTAAAGAAAAATGACAAATGCCCATCACAAGCTGCTGTCATCTGCTGACCAGTATTTGGAAAAATATTAAAATGTAAAACAAATCCCCATTATTAGATTACTTAAATTACTAATAAATTATGTTTTTTAATAGATCAACTATAGTTTTTATCGAATGTTATACATTTAAATGAATTGTAATGTTGACCTTGATTCCTGGCTTTGTAACTCCTGGAATGTGGTTTTGGAGTCTTAAATTCAGGGTGGAAACTTGTACAGTCGTAATGCGTTCAAGCTGCTGGAAGATGCTTTCTAATGTGGGAGTCTCCTGCAGACTGTCAAGAGAAATATTAAGTTACTGGATCACTGCCAGGAAACTCTCTCTGTGGTTTCTCTTCTGTGCTTGTGTGATGACTACATGTTGCAGTCAGCGCAAAAATAATTTGCTCTGTTGTCTCTCTCTTCTTTCTCCGTCTGTTAGTTCCTTGGATTGGCATTCCTCGGCATCGGGCTGTGGGCATGGAACGAAAAGGTGATTTAACGGCTTATCTCCCTGTGAAACAATACGTTTAATTCATTCATTGTGTCAATCCTTTCACTTATGGATACACACACTAAGCAGATCATTTACATTCATCTCCTGTGCTTTCACCCGTCTGGCTGAACGATATAATAGCAGTGGCTTTACTGAATCTGAAAGGAATGTCATGATTTCCGGTGGGACGCCCCTCTGTACAATGGACAGAAGATGCATTTTACAGATTCATTCATTGTGTTTCTCAGCTGAGGGGTGGAAAAAGTGAAAGAGAGTCCAGTGAGATTTATTTGTAAGGAATTTCACTGACAACCTTTAAAGATTATATCATTAACTATTTGGTCAACAATGAACCAAAATAACATCTGTGGTGGGAATTTATTTATCAAATGTGGATAGAGAATCAAACCATTCAGCTGTCTTTGCCATATTTTATTTCTTGTAAGAAAGTTCAGTCAGTCATACAGAGAACATACAGTCTGCAGAGTGAAAGACGAAGGACAGAGTATGGGTTGCATATTTAAACACAGAGAGAGGAGAAAGGGAGGGGTGACGCTTGGTGATAATGAAAGGAGCATTCTGGAAGTTAGGGAGGTAGGGAGGCCATATCAGGAAGTTCTCAGTTCACCTGAGTTGAAGGTCATACTGTTGGTGCACATAGAGTGTAACTAACAACATTGCAACACGTCTTCTTAAATATAGTAAATAGTAAATATAGATAAACATCACACAATATTGATATTATTAAAGTAAGTAAGTAAGTTCTATTACACATCCTATAAGCAAAGGGTGATTGTCTTCAGATGTCTTGTTTTGTCTGACCAACAGTCAGAAACCCCAAAAAGATTCAATTAACAATGATTGTTAGGTAATAGTCTCGGGTAAAATGAAGAAGAAGTAACAAAATATAAAATAACCGGGAGAAAAAAAAGATAGAGGAAACTGCTTTGCCAAAATGAGATGATATAGCTTAATTAATCAAAAATAAAAAGGGCT